TATTTATTCAGATTATTCAAAAACCTTTTGTACAAGCTCTGATTCATACAATACTCATTCCACCATAAAAGTTCCATATGCAGGTGGGACCTCTGAAAATGAGAGGCGCAAAGTTGCGATTGCTTTGGTCAACACTTCTGCAAGTCCGATTGTTATTTTTCAGGTCGCACCTATTAATTCTCCTACCTTTTCTCCAGCAAAGTAATGAGCTCTCTTTGGCTGCTTAGAAATTCGCATCACTAAAATTCAATCTACGTTACATGCCTCATTATAATTACTATACGGTGGCACTACACTAATAAGCGATGAAAACGAACGGAATGCACTATCGCTTCAGTGCAATGCCTCTTTTCATTAAAGACATACCAGCACAATCCTGAAGTAATATAGAGATCCTCAACATTAGAATCCCACGTGACGACTTCACCTCTTAGGTATCAGCGTTAAGATGTAGCCAAGTAGTCAGTTACTTCAAGAATATCGAGCTGACGTTTCAAGTATATCACATTGATGAAAAATAGATAAAAATTTGGAAGGAACACTATCTTCAGTATGGCGCCTCAAACCATAGTTCTTATGAAGATAGCGATTTCGCCAAAACAAAAAAATGTTTCTCTTTTTCTTTGTATAGAGAATAACTCCTTTTATAGAGCAACCTAGCAGGGATTTCGCAGAACGAGTCGTTCACTATCCGGATCTTGCCAAATCAGTTGATCGGTCGATTGATCCATGTGAAGACTTTTATTCATTTGTTTGCAATGGATGGATCAAATCACATCCAATACCCGAAAATCAGTTCCAGTACACACAAACTGAACTTTCAAAGGAAAAGATTATCAAGGAAGTTAAGGGTAAGCTCTTTAAAGTCGTAATACAACCCATATGCTGTTCTTTCAGAACCGCGAACCATTTTCAGATATACTAGTTACGTTACCTCTTATACGACACGTGAAGACAACCTTATGAGGATTTTCTACGAGAAATGCGTTCGTAATACACTTCAACCCGATAACAATGGAATGTCGATGTTATTCTCAAAATTGAGGTAAAACCGGATTAATCGATATTTTTGTGAGATTTTCAACGTACCATAATATGTTATGAATTGACACTACTCTTATTTGCACAGTACTACATAACTTGTTGTGGAGCTGATGACATCATCCACGTAAGGATTATCTTCGAGGAACTATCCTTTGTGCTTTGTTTTTTGAACTTAGTACTTAGTAGATACTTTGAGGCGATTGCATACCAGTTCTGGTAACCTTGGCTCAGTTTTGATGGTACGGAGCAGGGCATGTGAAGAGTACTTTGTGCACTTAGGCGAGTGCTTGCGTTCTCTCGCTTCTTAACAGTTTGGAGGTTAAAAATATTTTTTGCATATTATAAAAATCATATTAAAACCTGGACAAACCTTTGTCTCCAAGAGAATTCGGACCGCACCGTCTCCAGGGAATGGGCGATCAGAGAGTGATATTTGTGGAAGTTAAAGGTGTCGTGGGACAAGGAGGTGGTTATTGGTGTTTTTAGGATTATTTTGGCGAAAACTTCACCGAAGAAGCTCAAAATACAAAAACTTAGAGAATCTGCAGCTTCATTGCACATAGCCCCCTCCCCACTCCGTTCCCCTCCCGCTCGACTGCTGCTTGCGGTGGAAAATGTGGTCGGAGTTGGGCTCAGGGTCAACCCTACCGTTGTTACTCTTTGGAAATTTTTTACGACCCCCCTCATGGGTGATTTGATACGACCCCCTAGAGACAGTGTTTACCATCAATATTTATTTCTACGTAAGTCATCAAAGATGAAACTTTAGCAAAATCCACGACAGATATTCATCGCTGCTTCCAAACACGAAAAAATGAGATGCATTCAAAGATATCCGTGTACTCCAAAGGGTTACCAAACTAGGAGATGAAATAAACTGAACCAGTGACCGGAATATTGACAATACCTGATAAAAACTTATGAGAAGTCAGAAAAAATTATCGCTCCAATTGAAATACTGAAATCCTTCACGTTCTTCAATTGCAACACAATTTTTACACCCCTCTTTCTAAGGCTATAACTTCCTTCATATTCGAGCTTCTGCGCCGAAGTGATTTGATTTGGAAAATTCAAATTATTCTCTCTCCAACCATGGGTAAAAATTCTTCGAAAGTTAATTTAATAAAAATTTAGTACGTTGTTACTTTTTTCTGTGCAAAGCGACTTTTTGACCTTCAAATGATCATAACTTCCTTCAAAGTCATTCATTTGGGAAGCTGAACACGTATAATAAACTACAGGATTCAAGCTTTCTAACGAGCACCCAAGCGTTCCTGAAAGATCAGTAGTTCAAAAATTAGTCCCGTTGTTACTTTTTTGGGGGTTTGCGTTACTATTTTTTTGGAACCGCGACTTTTTTACCTTCAAAACGATCATAACTTCCTTCAAAGTCATTCATTTGGGAAGCTGAACACGTATAATAAACTACAGGATTCAAGCTTTCTAACGAGCACCCAAGCGTTCCTGAAAGATCAGCAGTTCAAAAATTAGTCCCGTTGTTACTTTTTTGAGGGGTTATTCTTCAAGCCATTTTCCCGAAAACGCGGGTTTTCTTAGGTTTCACTGCCCGTAACTTCTTGGAAGACCAATGTCATGTTTAACCTAGGATGTGCTAGAAAGCTTTGAGGATGCGCTTGCACTACATCCCTTGCCTTGGTGCGCGCCACGCCTCGGGCGCCCTTCTAATTCGCTGATTCATTTGAAAGCTCATTTAGAGGGAAGCGTGGTTTATAGATGCTCAGTATCAGTCATCTTACAAAAACGTAACCTGCTAGCTAATATCCGATATTACCAATAATATCACTGCCGGCCACCGAGAGAGTACGACCCCCCTGCTACCCAAGCTTCAATCGGATGGGGGGGTGGGGGGGGGGGGGGGGGGGGGGGGGGGGGGGGGGGGGGGGGGGGGGGGGGGGGGGGGGGGGGGGGGGGGGGGGGGGGGGGGGGGGGGGGGGGGGGGGGGGGGGGGGGGGGGGGGGGGGGGGGGGGGGGGGGGGGGGGGGGGGGGGGGGGGGTGTGTTATCGTAACAACGTATGGTTGACCTGTACGGCGCTGGCGCGCCTCAAAGGTAGAGGTCTTAAAATCTCTGATCCATTGTGAGCGTCGCCGGCTGACCTGATTTGGACAATCATCAGCTTTCGAACAACGCTACCAATGGCCAATCAATCCATGTACGAATTTCGGAAAAATATTCTGTGTACTTCATATGAACATGTGCAGTAATGTAATTGATACTTAGCAATTTTGAAGTCATATGTTCTCTAAAGAAAGAAGGACAAAGGAAATTTCATTTCAGGGATTCAAACAAGGCGACAACCCAGGGTCAACCACCCGTTTGCACAGGGCCTCTTTCATTTTTGAAACCTTACCAAGCCTTAAAACGCCCTCTCTCAGAAAACTAATATACAACCCCCCCCCCTCTTGTTGGGCACTGGCCAGCGCACATTTGATCCTGGCCACGGGTGACGCGTAATTTGGCTCTGAGGCGCGCTTTACATTGGAACCAACAGCTGGAAACCGCGGACATCTTCGAGCGGCTTTTTTGTAACTACTTGCTAATTTTTTCAGAAAGTACTAATTATTAGTGCAGAATCACATCTCGTTTGCACGAAATAGCAAATGAAGACGCGCAAGACGCTCGACATCGTCCAGCACCATCGGGTTTTTCGGCCACAACATGAATTAAAAGTGTCGTTCACCTTTTGTCCCTATTCACCGCTGATTCAGCCACATACGAACCCCCTCCTCCCTCAGGACGAAATATGAACCCCCTTATTGAGGAACGCTCCCTCTATCGAGGCCTGAGCCAGCGATGGCCGTAGCTGATTAGTAAATGTCTAGCACCCATGTAAGAGTAGGATGTAAAATCAGCCTCAGTGTGGATTGAAATAACGGTTTTAAGGAGCTTGAGACGGACAACATCGCTTACTGACTGGCTGTTGGCTATGAAAACGGAAGTTGTTTTTTACGATCTGACTGGTTCCGCGATGAGTACAACTCGACTGCCAATATTCTACAGGTAACGAGTAACTCAGTACAAACCCACGTGACTTTTCCAGCATTTCAGATTGTGCCTGGATCATCGATGTTGTCGGCTCGCATCTATTTCGACCCAGCATATTCGCATGAATTCCAAGGCTACTAGAAATGGACTTTTGAAAATGCTTGCCCTTCTCGTCCAAGGATCGACTTATGAATTTCCCGCAACATCCTTTCGAACACCTGAAGATTGAATCCTCCTATGTGAACCAAACGATGCAAGCGTAAATCAAGTACATACACTGCGTCCTCTACTTTATTACTATGGCTAATTCAAAGAACATTATTCTCTTTTACAGTGAAAAGCTTTTGTTCGACTTTCTGAACCACAGATTCGTTCTATTTATTTATTTATTTATTTATTCTTCTTTCTTTCCAATTTATTTGATTAATTATTTATTCATATACTACATAAGGTAAACTTGAGAAAACAAAACAGCAGCACACTGTACTGCTGCGGTTGAGTTGGTATTTTCTCCCAAAAACGAAAAGAAAATAGAGTTGTAAAGTGGATCATGAAGGAATAAAAAAGGACAGATAGCCGCCGATAATATAGAAAATAAGGATAATAATTTCATGGCCGATGGAAATGTCAACAGGACAGACAAGGACAGCCAGTCTGAAAGCTGCGCGCAGGGGAGAGAGCATAGACTCGGAGACGAGAGAGCACAGCGGAAAAGCGAGAACGCAGACAGTTCGCCGAATTGATCGTACATAGTCAATAACAAGAATGACGGCCAGCTATGGTCATGACAAAGACCTACGTAGCACCCTAGTCGCGCGAGCTTTCGATTGCTGCATCTTAGGTTGGGTAATTGTTAGGAGCTCTATCCTATTTACTCACGTGGGGAATTGCTCAAAATTGCTTCATGGTGGAATGTGCCTTCAAAGCAGCCACCTAAACACTTTCTACTGTGAAGTGAATATGTAATACTGTGACAAAAGTCACTCCCACTCGAGGGTTTTCTTTACGCTAATTTCTTCAGATTCTTGAAGAGACAGAGTTCAATACCGATTCTGTTACAGTTACTGTTGGAGAACTGCGTCATACTTTAAGAACGGTAGGTGTGGTTTGAATTGTCATTCCCTTGATTTCAATTACCTTGCAATATGAACTTGTAAGCCAATTGAGCGTGAAGCTTTTTAAATGTTCTTTTTTTTCGATTCTGAGGGTTTTTGACCTCAGTGGATACGAGCACTATTAGTGTACTACAGAGAGGAAACCGCACAAATCTGGATAACTTGGATAACTATGTGCTTTAAGATCGACTGGATTCGCTATGCGTCAGCCTTCTTACCATCTCACCTCCGATATTCAGTTGCTCGGCGCCCTGTTCGAATAACAAAACTAGCCACAATAAAACGACTGCAGGAGGTACTGTTGGGGATGGACGACCAGACGTTGTCGGACTACCTTGATTGGAAGGTAAGCCTTCTCACTTGACAGAGATTTGGAGGGCGAAAACAACGAGAACTGGGGGTCTGTCACCTTCACTCGATACTGAAAGGGTCCTCTGAAGTGAAAAATGGAAGTGAAGGAGGTACTGTAGTACTCGCAAAACGACTGTCATTGAAACAAAGTGTCCGATATCTAACCTTCAAAGGCAGCAATTACGATAGGTTCTGGAGAGGTTTGAAGGGGATATAGGGGTGCTAAATAGCGCGTAAGAGTAGGGAACGATCAGAGAAATCGGTCAAAAACCCGTCATAGGTTGCTCTAGTTTCATTCTTTTATGGGGGACGAGTTAAAGGCAAGATTCGAGCTTAAACTGATGAGGTAATTCTACTCAAATGTGATGTAGGGGCGGAGGTGGACCGCCAGTGAAGAAAAAGGAAAAATTCGTGTCTCACAT